TGGAAACCGGGTCCAGCGTCTCTTAGATACATCTTTACAAAACAGTACATAATTGAACGTGACGCCGTTGTGCTGGGCTTATCGGTTACCTAAGCCTTCGAATCTCATTTCGTCTGACTTACAGCAGAATGGATGGACAAGCGTTTGCTGATGATTTTTTTTTTTCAAAAAGGTAAAGATTTAGAAGCGAGTGGTCTAGTCATGAAGAAATAATAATGAAATACTAACCTATTAGTGTGCATAGGTTTGATTCAACTGTTAATCAGGTATAAGACGGATTAAGATTGTAGTACGGTGCAAATGGCATGAGTACTGCTAGTTTCCCTTCCCGCGTGCATCAGCTCTGGGGGTTGGAAAGCAGATTTGATGAGGACGGAACGAAGGAAAAAAGGAGGTAGGAAGTGGGTTAGCAGGAGGGGGGGTCCATAGGACTCTGAAGTTGGGGTAAAAGTCGTAGGTCGGGCTACCGTCTGCACCCAAATAGAACGCCCGGTCATTATCGCTGCCTCTGGACCGAAAATTGTGCCAAAAATACAGCAGCTATATTGACCGGGCGTTCTATTCGGGTGAAGACGGTAGTAAAAGTGGCAGGTCTGACTGGGAGCTGTATCTTTGAGGGAGAGAGGGGGGGCAAGGCCTGATGTAGGGGGTCGGGGGAAAAGAGGGACGGAGAGCAGAGTAGGGAAATGAGTGGACATAGTATATGGAGTGATGACACTTTGAAGCAGAGAAGATTTGTGTTATCGGTGGAGGCGTAGACTATGGGGTGGGGGGGAAAGAGGGGCGGAGAGTAGAGGAGGGAAATGAGTGGAGAAAGTATATGCAAGTGATGACACTTTGAAGCAGAGAAGATTTGTGTGATCGGTGGGGGCTTAGACATCGAGGACGTTATGCGCAGGTACTACGAATATTTGTGTTTTCTAATTACCCTTTGGGCATCTAACTTTGATGTTCTTCGTCGCAATTTCGGTGTTAATTGATCTGAAATCGTCATGTCCGAACACACGGGGCCGGTAAGCCCTGTAGATTTCGTTTTAAAAAATGGCGAATTTGCTGACAGGAACGTCGAAGTTAGGTGCCCAAAGGAGAATGTGTAAGGTTTTGGAATTTGAGAGCGAGAATGTGGCACTGTTATCTGTATATTGTGGTAGTTGCATGGTTCCCCAGCAAGTTGCCGTGTGCGTGGCAGAGTGGGAATTTTCCGCCAAAGCATGGAAATGCTAAGCTGATGTTTCCAGGTAGTGATGGTTTCCGCCGCAGGTTATCGTGTGTGTGGCAGAGCCGGAATTGTCCGCCAAAGCATGGAAATGGTAAGCTGATGTCTCCCACTACCTCCAGGTAGTGGGAATTGCTCAGCACCTCTCTACGCTATTCACCAAATGTGCAAATGGTGAGAGTAGATTTGCAATGACCCACTTCATATGCCTCGTCGAATGTCTCCAGGCCACAACTTGGCCTCAGGCCGAAGGGGCAAAAGACCCTCTGAAGTGGTGCCAGGGCCTAAGCGCCCAACAGTTGACTTCAGTCAACTGGCTGAGGCCCAACGGTCAAAAGTCAATATGGACCCATCCCAGGCCGCTGGTGAGACGCACACACTTGTTTGTATGCAGGTACCAAGACAGCATTCGGACCAAGTGGAAGTCTGCGAATGTATGCAATCAGGCCCTCGGCTGTGAGTCAATTTGAGCCACCGTGAGTGGGAGACCTGTATGCAGGTACCAAGACAGCATTCGGACCAAGTGGAAGTCTGCAACTGTATGCAATCCAGGCCCTCGGCTGTGAGTCAATTTGAGCCACTGTGAGTGGGAGGCAGGTCAACTCGGTCTATCACTACATAAGACCCTGCCTCCAGGGAGTCAACGTTCGGTCTTGTGTTACATGCTGCGCCTGCAACAGGCTGCACGAGCCATTTTCAGGCCCGTGTTGTTTTCAGCCTCCCGGTCAGGTCAGGACTTATATCTAAGTCTTCCACTGTGCTACAAAGCACCATTTTTGTATGTATCAGGATGTACACTGCTTGTTGAGATTCTACTAGCACTGCATTGTCCATTCAGTCCTTTTCATCACATTGCGGATCCTTGGCTACATATGTTCATCGCCCAACTGGGCATGTAACAGTCTATCTATGCTGACTTGACGCTAGCTGGACGCTGGCTGTGCGCTGGCACTGTGGACGACGGTGCGGGACTGAGGCAGCATGCTGGTGCCTTCTCTGCTGAGCGCCAGCCTCTAGTGATGTGGTGCATGCCACTTGTCTTCATTTCTGATGTGCCAGATGTCACTTGTCTTCGTTGCTGATGTGGTGCATGCCACTTGTCTTCATTGCTGATGTGGCGCATGCCACTGTCTTCATTGCTGATGTGGCATTGGCCATGTTGTCTACATTGGGTGACTGAACGCAACAAGAAGGGAGATCGGGATCTGTGGATGATTGCGGAGGATCGGGATACTTACCTGAGGTTGATGTCGATACTGTGCGCTGTTGATTGTCTTCTATGTCTTCACGAGAGAAATGTGCCAAGTGGCACTTCAATGTGATCAGAACCTGTCAGACTGGTTACTGGATATTGTATGCTGACGTGGAGGCCAGGGGAAGCCTGGAGGAGTTGGAAATGTTGGGCTACGCTCTTGGTGGTCGTTGATGGTTATTATCTCTTCCACCCTCTAATCTGTCTATTTCCCCTCCACTCTCTTCGTCTACTCGTGACGAGACACTGTATCAGAGATCACATTCATGATTATTGGAGGCATTGTTCAAATCTGAGTTATCTTGTATTTTAACATCTGGTGAGTATCGTTCAGGCTGGGTTCATTACAATTTGGTATTGGAGCATACCTTCTTCAGCGCAATCTGCTGTCGGGTGCCATGTGGCGCCCAGGTAAGTGGGAGGTGCTGCACGTGTATGGGACGAAACGTGTTTATAAACGTGATTAATATCGCGAGTCTAGACATTGAATACCACGCGTGCGTGCAGCCCCCTTGAAGATGATGACGTGGACAATTTGAAGAGGAAGAGGATGACATTGCTTACGTGGCGCTTTGTTGCTGATGTGGCATTGAGATACTGGCGAGAGTATCGTTGGCAGCAGGCTGATGTGGCGCTGGTAGTCAAGAATGAGCGAGAGAGAGTGGATATTGGGACTGTTGATGTGGCGCACTGCCTATGTGGTGACGTGGCATCCTACTATTGGCAGTGCATTGTCTGACATGGCATGTACCTGTGTCCCGACTACCTGCTGACTTGGTGCTCCACACTTCAGCAACATTACTTCGATTTGATGTGGCATAGCAGTGATGGATGAGTTGGCAGTGCAAACATTGCTGACGTGGCATCCCTCCTGAAGACCGTGCTGTCTCTTGACGCTTACGTGGCACATGTGCTGTGTTAGCATTCCAGGGGTGACACAGGGCATGCTTTGCACGCTGTCGTGGGTGAGGTGTTGATACTTGCACTTGTGTGCTGACAGGTGGTACAGCTTCACGATTGCTGTAGTGCATTGGCTCTGCATATGGTACAGCCGTAGAGGAAAGGATGCTGACAATTGATTGCTGTTGATTGTGTTGGCTG